ATTATAAATTAATTAATCAGCTCCTTCCCTGATATTTAAATTAAATGGAGCATGGCTTCAGCAGAATATGTCCATACTCTGCAAAGAGAAGTGGGTGGGATGCAAGGGGGGGTCTGGAAGTCTACTGGGCATCGTTGCTCCATATGCTTCCCCAGGGGAATCTCCAAGCTGGGCCACATTTCCTGGGCCAGGGCCCAGTCACCTTCCCTTGTCCATTGCAGGCTGGCCCTCCTGCGTGTCCTCCAGAGGCAGGAGGCACCGCCGCGTGTGTCCAGGTTGACTCTCCCCAGGTGTCACATCCAGTTCCCAGCACACCCCTCAATGTGCAGCATGCCTAGCCGGCGGCACTCACTGGCGAGGCTGATCCACGCTTTCCCATTTTCCCCTGAAACCATTTCACACCCCTTCTCCCTTCTCTAACCCCTGACACAGGAGAGGAAGAGCTCTCAGTCCTGCGCTCTTACTCTAACCCAGGTCCCAAAGCCAGCCCCTTTGTCTTCTAGAACCTTCCCTGCCAGGCCCATGCAGGTGCTCAGTAATCACAGAGAGAGGCGCCTTCTCTCCACTTTGCTTCTACAAAGTGCCCCCTGGCCCCTCGGCACTATCAGTCTCTCCCTAACCGCCCGAGCATCCGGTAAGCACAGCAGCAGCCTCTCTCTCTGCTCTTTCAGCTCCCTCCTGGGCCCTGGGCCCAAGCCCTTTGTTTCCATCTCTGTTTCTTCAAGGCTTCCCTGACTTCTCTGTGAGTATTTGGCTGAGTGCTTCCTTCCGCTTCTCTGTCTGCATCATCCCCAAAGGCTGCCATGTTGGCAGATTTAGTGGTCATGTCGTTGTCTTCAACTTTGACCTAATGGGTGACCCTCACTTCTTGACATGTCCATGGGGACACCACAGCCTGGATTCCTCCTGCTGCCCTGGCCTCTGGTCTTCGGCCACCTCTGCTGACCCCTCTTGCTCTGCCCTCCTCTGTCCTGAGCCTTCCTCATCTCTCCCTGCAATCTCCCCACAAGTGGGAAGCCCATTTGTGTAGCCAGGAGTTGAGAGGTCTGGGAACCACCTGTCGAGATTTATAGCTGTGGGTGTCCTGGTGTGGGCCGGCTCCAGGAAGCAGCGGCAGGAAATCCTCATTCATTTGGTCACGGGTCGTTCAGAGGTGCAGTAACTCAGCAGAAAGTCACTTTTTAATTCAGATGAGTTGGAAACAATTTCTTCTGCTGAGGATTCATGTGTCAGATGCTACCGGCAGACCTTGCTTTACAGAACAGAATGTGCTTCCTGAAACATGGGCGAGGGTCAGTTTTTTGAAGTAGAATCTTTAAATGCAGTCAGAGGATCTCACTGACCCATCTTTGAGTGAACTGTAATTTTCATTTATTGAATGCTCTTAATGCATAGCCTTTTGCTTTGGGGAATAAATGGGCATCAATTGAGAAATCAATGCTTTTCTAAACTAACAAGTTGGAAAATTAATTATTCTGCCAACAGATGGGTCCAGCTTCTGGAGTTTTGTATTAAAAGACTGTTATGTACCTACTGTCTTAGCATAAGGAGTGGTCGTTCTCAAGAATGTCTTTCTTTAGTGGATGCGCATTGGTATTGCCTATAACCAGGCTATCCCCATTTTATGGATGAAACCTCTCCTAACTTAAGGGACACTTGGAGTGTCAGAGAGAGGAGGAAAATGCAACAACTGAGAGTTTGGAGAGCATGGTTCTGCCCCCAGGAAGGGACTGGAGAGCAGGGGAAGTGAATGAGGACCTACTGAGGAGGCAACACTCTGGGGTGGGATAGCAATCCCAGAGGGAATGAGCACTGGGTAGTGGGAGGGGGCACTTGTCCTTGAGGTAATGAACATGGCTACGAGTGACCAGTGTTTAAACAGTATGGCACTGGCACTGGGAGAGAGAAGCAGAGAAACAGAACAACCAGCTAGAGGCTCATGTGTATGTGGGACTGTGCAAATCATAAAAAAGAGAGTCAGTTATAATCAATATGGAAAGAATGGTTTATTCTCTAATGGTTTGAAATAATTAGCAGCTCATTAAAAAATATTCAGTTGGAGACTTACCTAGCATCATTCATCCGGATATGGTCTAGGTGAATTAACACAAACACATGCAAATGTGCTAGAGAAATATAGGAGAATGCATTTATGGCACTGGTTTTCCTAAAGTAGACACAGGAAGCAAAAATCAAGAAGGAAAAGACTGATTAAATTGATTATATCAAATAGGAAAATGGATGTTAAAAGCAGCTTTGCTCATAAGTGCCAATATTGGAAGCAACTAAATGTCCTTCAACAGGTGAATGGGTAAAAGTCCACGGCCCATCCAGACTGTGGGATCTTATTCAGCAAAAAGGGAAAAAAAGAAACGAGCTGTCAAGCCGTGGAAAGACAGGGAGGACACTTATATGCTTATTATTACTTAAGAGAAGCCAGTCTAAAGAGGCTATAGTTTGCACATCACCCTGGGAAAGGCAAGACTTGCCAGGGCTTGGGGGTGGGATGGGAGAGATGACTAGGTGGGGTGTATGGGAACATACATGCTACTATACACTATGCTTTGTCAAAAGCCATAGTATGTACAACACAGAAGTGAACCTGATGTAAACTCCAGATGGGGTTAGTAATAGTGTAGCAATATTGGCTCATGCGTTGTGATAAATGTGTCACATTAATGCATTAATTAATTAATCAGAGAAACTGGGGTGAGGGTGCACATGAAGCACAGAGAAGGGGTGTAGGGAGCTCTCTGAAATGTACTTTATGCTCAATTTTCCTGTAAACTTAAATTACTCTAGAGAAGAGTTCTGTTAATTAAAAAAAAAAGTGTTGCTTCTCTCTGGTGGCACACGGGTTAAAGTGCAGCACTGCAAAGCTGGCCAGGCCACTTGGTGGAAGTTCGATCCCCGCCCCGGAGGTGACCCACATGGCCGGCAGACCTCTCCTGACCGGCCCGCTGCTCCCCTTAGCAGTGTGCTTCACCGATCTGCCTGTTCTGCTCCCCGCTCTGTCTCTGGTGAATCCTCTCACCGCCCCTGCACCTCTGGCCTGTACCCCAGTTCTGTATTCATAAATAAATAACTCTTAAAAATAAATAAATAAAATGTCCCCTACATGGAAAAAGACAAGTAGCAAAGTAACAGACTATTTGCATTCTGGGCAACAGATAGGACTAGTATCCAGAATACGTAAAGAGTACTTGCCAATGGATAAGGAAAAAGATTTAAAAAGAAAGAAAAACGAACAAAAGACCCATAGAAAATGAAATAGAAATGGTCAGTAACCATATGAAAATGCCCACGCTCTCTAGTAGGCAGGGGAACAAGAAACTTAAAACATTGTTGAAGTATCTCTTTCAGTATGCAATGGGCGGGACTTGTCATGTTTTATACAGTCGACTATTGGCGAGGATTTGGACAGTACAGCTACTCCAGAGAGCAATTCACCGGCCTTGATTAAGATTTAAAATGCATACGCTTTATGACCTAGCAATTCTTGCTGCTCACTGGAGAAATTCTTGCTGGCCTGCACAAAGAGACCAGCAAGGTGTTCATTGCAGCAAAAGCTAGAAATAAAGACCATTGTGTGATTAGATAAGTAATTATCCAGGAGTAGTTTGCCTCGGTTGCAAAGAATTAAGGGATATCTGTTATGAACCTCTTGGCAAGTTCACCAAGAATTGTATCAATTAAAGAAAAGAAGGTTCCCATATGGCTCCCCTACTGTCTCCTCCCCACAGACCAAGACAGGCCAGCGAGGGCCAGCGAGGGCCAGGTGGGCTGTTGGTGGTGGGTGGGGCAGCCCAGGAAAGTTCTGGTCCTGCCCACCAGAGCACCACTCAGGATGGGGTCTAGGCTGTGCTCCAGCTTGCAGGACAGTTTGGGGGGTGTGGGGGTGGGGGTTCAGCACCTGCTAAGTTTGCCCTCTTCCTAGATTTCCTGACCCAAGTGCTCTTTCCAACCCTGGAAAGCAGCCCTCTGAGGTCAGTGAGAGGTGAGACGTGTCCGTGAGACGCTGACCCCAGTGTGGAGACCCAACAGCCACCTCTGAGTCCTCCATCTGGCTGGAGACTGGGCGCAGTTGCTGGAGGGCATGTTCTGTCCCTGCTCACGATGCCTGACTGCTCATTTCTCCTGTGTTCTGCTTTTAGTGACGTTACATTGGTAACTTGAAACAGCCCACAGTGGGAGTCTTTACACCATGGAAATTGGCAAAGGCTTCAAATCTGGATATTTGGAGCTGTTCCTTTTGGAGAATCAGTTATTAAACACTTGCCCTCACACTGTACCCCGGCTTTCACTGAACCCCTCCTGGGTTCCAGGACTCAGAAAATCAACCCCTTTAGACACCTGTTCTTTTTTTATCTCCACAGGCACAGAACTGAAAAAATTTAAAATAACAATCATTATTCCTGCTATGTTTGATGGTATCACTTATTTCTACTCCATTCTCTTTAATTTTTTTTTTAAATGCTGGTTGCAATTCATGAAGTTGAGTTCGTGACCCACTAACTAGTGAGTTAAGCTATGCAGTTAGAAAAAATCTCTCCGGTCTGCTTCTCCCAAATGACCTTCTCACAGCGATGGCTAACTCTGGCCCGAAGACTGCTTTTGTGAATAAAGTTTTATTGAAACACAGCTGTGCTTGTCCACTGACCTGCTGTCTCCAGCTCCTTGTGCACCTTGAGGGTGGAGTTAGTGGTTGCCATAGGAACACATGACCCACAGACCTGAAACTGTTTACTTCTCTGGTCCTTAACAGCAAAAGTTTGCCCGCGGCTGATACTGTCTCCCTCGCTTACATGTCTCCAGGCTGCTTTGTCCAGTAGCTCAACTGAGGCTCCTTTGCCAACAAGAAGTCCCCACCCTCATCATGTGGCGCTCCAGTCCCCCTCATCTCCCTTCCCGGGCTCCATGTTGTCTCCCAGTCCAACAGACAGGCCAGAGGCAGAGAGTCCGGCCTGGCTCCCTGACGCTTTCTTCTGCTGTTCCTGCAGGCCTGCTGGGCATGGTGGCCCACATGATGTACACACAGGTGTTCCAGGTCACCGTGAGCCTCGGCCCTGAGGACTGGCGGCCCCACTCCTGGGACTATGGCTGGTCTTTCTGGTAAGTGACTCCACACATCAGAGCCAGGGTGTGCTGGCACTTCAGCGGCTCAGTCCATTTTGGGGTATAGAGATGGTGGGGTAAGCTCAGAGTCCACAGGAGCTGCAAGACCATGGAACTGGGGCTACAGACTGTGACCCCTCAGCCAAATCCAGCCCACCAGCTGTTCTTACGTAGCCCTCACAGGAAGGATGGTTTTTACATTTTTTTAATGCTTGAAAGTAAATAAAAAGAAGACGATTTTGTTAAATGTGAAAATTACATGGAATTCAAGTTTCAGCAGCCATAAGTCAAGTTTTTCTGGAACATGGCCACGCTCATTGTTTACCTGTTGTCCACGGCTGCTTCCATGTCGCAACGGCAGAGCTGATCAGTGGCCACAAGACTGAATGGCCAGCAAGTACAGCAAATACTACCTGGCCCCTCCCAGAGGAATTTCACTGACCCCTGCCTCAGAGGCTGCCCTGGAAGTGAGATGGAAGGCAGGCACCATGGAGGGTCCCGGTGGCCCCATGGGCTGGGAGGACCTCAGTGAGGGACCCTGACACAGGAAACAGAGCCAGGAGCTCACAGCCTGGTGTGCAAGAGGGAAGAAACAGTCAGGATTCTTTGCTTCTCCAGAGAGGGAATCCCTCTCCCCAAATTAGAACAAGCAAGAGGTGATTATTTGTTCAGGTAGTTGGCAAGTCCAGGTGAATCAGCTAGGAAGTTATAGAGCATAACAGGAAATCCCCCTACCTCAGCCTAAGCAATACAGAGATCCATCAGTTGCAGTAAACAGAAAGCACAGCTGTGCTGTGGACTTCAGGATATGCTTGATCCAGCTGCTGATAGTATCAGGGTTGAGTTCTCTTTGTCTGTGGTCATCTGAGCACCATCCCCTTGACATATTAGCCCGGCCCCTGAGTGGGCTTCCCTCTTAGTGGTGAGACAGCTCCTGTTGAGATGGGTGCTTCTTTTTTCATATAGAGGGGGCAAAGGCTTTTCCCCATTGGTAGCAAAGATAGTCACCACGCCCAGCTCTAGGTTTGTGTCTGACAAGTGTTACCATGTCAGCGGAGGTAAGGTTTCTAGCCAGTCTTTCCAGCCCAAATCCTGGCTCTGACTTTCTGGCTTAGTTTAAGTCATGTGATCATCCATCAACGAATGGTTTAGATGCCTAGAAGATGACTGCTCTAACTGATCTAGCCTGAGCCACACGGTCCAGACGGTGGGGTCGGGCTCAGCTCAGTTCTCAGAGAGAGCAGGTGAGGTCTCCCGTAGAGACCCAGGGTGGGAGAGAGCAGAGTGGACTGCTGTCAGGAGGAATGTGTGTGGCAAGACAGTGGCCACAGCTGTCCATCATCCAGGGTGTCCATTTCCACTTATAGCTAACATATGCTCACTGAGCACTCACTTGGGTACAGCCACCCTCCTCGGTGCTAAAACAGAGTTGTCATTGCCTGAACTGAGTTACGAGGTTGGGGTGGGGGATCGCAGCCCTCCATGGGAGCACAAGGGATGGGTCATAGACCCCATGCCAGCGTGAGCATCCTCAGGGGCACTTTGGTCAGGCTCTGGTGGAGGAGGAAATGAGATCAGTGTGCTGTGCTGGGCTGGGCGGGGGCAACAGCAGGTGCAAAGCCTCACAGGGAGAAAGGATGTCCGGAAGGGAGCAGAAAAGGCTGCGATAAAGAGAGACGCCACTCCAGACTCCATTCCCGTGGAGTTCCTCCTGTGTTTCTGCCCCTCCCGCTCTCTGGCCTCCGCCTCCCCTCTCCCGCCTTGATCTATCAACACCATCCCTGATCCCAGGCAAAACAACTGCAGGGAAGGCTCTGACTGCCTTAATCTACCTGTCCCCCTTTAATTCCTTCCTGAGGTCTTGACCGTGGAAGGTGATCCTTGGCTTGAAAAGGACAAAAAGAGGGAACAAACATTCTGGAGTGTTGATTACTTGTGTCATTAATCTTCCCTGCACTGGTGTGTTATTAGCACAGCGATGGAGCACAGCAGTGCTGGGTGGCCAGTTCCTGGAGGGGAAACTGAGGCACAGAGGGATTTATGTAACCTGCCCCAGGTGACCTGGACTGTGGTGGCCCAGCTGGTAGCTGGCTCTGGAGCCCGTGCACCCCGCTCTGTGTCCTGTCTCCCTGGGGTGACGGGTTGGTAATAGTAAGACAGTTTGGAAGTGCACAGTGAGAGCCCCTGTCTTCTCCTGTCACCGTTACTGATTTGAAGTTCCACATGTACAACAGCCCCACATTCCTGGGAGAAACAGGCTCAGAAAAGGATCAGGGCCTCCCTGGTGGTGCAGCAGGTTAAAGCACAGCACTAAGAAGCTAAAGCCACTGCAGCACAAGTTCGAGCCCCACCTGCCCCCGAGGTGACCCACATGGTGTGGCAGACCTCTCCTGACCCTCCCGCTGCTCCCCTCAGCAGTGTGCTTGGTCAGTCGGCCTGTTCTGCTCCCCGCTCTGTCTCTGGTGAGTCCCCTCACTGCCCCTGCACCTCTGGCCTGTACTCCAGTTCTGTACACAAATAAATGACTCTTTAAAAAAAAATGACAGTGGGACGAATCACCCTCCTCCCCCAGGTCTCTCCAGAAGCCCCTGGCTCTGGGTCCAGTCAACGCCCAGTTCGGGCCGGGGAGCCGTTCTTCCCCTGGAAGCTGGGCCTCTGCCCCAGGAGGTGGGGTCAGACTCCCGCGGGACTCCGAATTTCCACTTGGCTTATTCAAGGCTGGGGCCCGATGTGCGGCCCTTATTAGGGCTGATCCATTTCTCCTTGTCACCAAGGCCCCCAAGATGGATCAGCCCCATTTTTCATCCCTTGCATCTGGGGCCTCGCCAGGGCTGTGCAGTGTCTTCTCTCTTGTTTAATGTGTGTGAGGCCATTTGTCAAGATTCCGGCCCCAGAGGCTCCCCTGCCCCCACCCAGGGCACCCGAGAGGAGCCGGCTCCGGGAAACAGCGCCAGCCTCTGTGTCCCAGATGCAGAGAGCACACGTGGGGGCTGGGGTGGGGGGCCGAGGATCCAGCAGACGTCAGCCCCGGCCCCACCAGGAGCACCCATGCAGGAAGGTGAAGGGTCAGCTCTCACCCTGAAAAGCGCACCCATCCCGTAGGGAGTGTCGGGGAGGAGGTGGCTGGGCCAGCTGTGAGTGCACCCTGACTCTGGCCCTCGCCCACTGGGGCTGTGGCCCACACAGGTCACCCTCCCTGTGCCTCAGTGCCCTCAGCTGTATAGGGGGCTAGCCCCAGTTTCTACCCTCCGGAGCCATCACCCCACCATGAGTGGCTTCAAGTAACAATGTGTGGTGACCGCTGATGGCTGGGGTGACTGAGCTCGGCTGGGTGGCCCTGGCGCTGTCATTCGCTGTGGGCTGGGGCTGGGGTCAGCAGCCGGCCGGCGGGCCCTCAGCAGGCTGGCCTGGGTGCTGCCTGGAGGCTGGAGCTCGGGGAGGATCGACCGCGGGAGTGGCAGCCAGTCGCGGGCCAAGTCCCGGGGCCACCCGAGTCCCTGAGGGCCCAAGCGGAAGCTCACAGCTGTTTTCCATTAACTTCCCTGGAAGCCACACAGGACAGCCACTTCCCACACCCACCACCCTCCCCTCCCCTACACTTCCCTCCCACAGTGTCCACTCTGTTCTTGGCTCTAACAACCAGGCCACCCACACACACCCTCGCCACACCGGCGCAGCCGTGTGAGGTCCAGACATCAGCAGGAATCCAGCCCCGAGGTGTCAGGCTGTGCCATGTGTGGGGGCCTGGGGAGCCTGGGGTGAGAGGAGCAGGGGGAGGGGAGCAGGGGGACTGCAGATGCAGGGCTGCAGCCTGAGCCCCTCACCACACTAAAACCAGAACAGTGTTTTATATCTGTTTTTTTTTCATTTGTTTTTATTAATTCTGGAAATGTTTACTGAGTACCTACTATGTGCCATAAGCCCTAAGGACACAGCAGTGAACAAAATGAAGTCTCTGTTTCCATGAACCTGGCATGTCGGTATGTGTGCGACTCATACCGGATAAATCAAGCCCAAGTAGTAAGGACTTCTGGGAAGATGGAGTTGACATCATTTTCCCCATTTCTCCTGCCAAGTACAGCCCAACTCCCCAGACATTCTACTTAAAACAAACATAGCCAGACTCTGAAAGTGGAGAGAAGACAGCAAGCCGCTCGAGACACGAGACAGCAGACGGTATGTCCTTGATTCAGGTGTGACCGAGACCTCAGGAACTGTCACACCAACAACCCACCCCCAGCTCCACCGCCAGTCTGCTCTTTCTAGCCAAAGAGCGGGGAAAGGTCAACCTACCAGGACAGAAAACGCACAGCAGTGGCTGTTTGGGCAAGTCACACACCCAGAGAAAGCTGCAGCTTGGCCCTGACCCTTGCCAGCACAGGCTGAGGGAGGCGCTTAGGGTTCACCTCCCGCTGCATTGAGGTGGCCCAGCCCACCCGGCCGCCCAGCCCGCTGGGATGCTGCCAGAGTAGGGAGTTGGGACTTTGCTGCTGGGACCCTCCCGGAGAGTAACAAGTGCCACCTACTCCCGAGTGTCATGGAGATCACATTCATACCCTTTCTCCTCAAAAAGTGTAGTGTCTATGCATGAATGTAGCAAAACATTTATAGGGCTTGCACGTTGAAAGCCATAAAATGCAGTGGGAGAAATCAAAGAAGAGCCAAATAAATGGAGAGATGTACTGTGCTTACGGTAAAGATGTCGCTGTGGACAGGTTCGGCGTAATTCCTATCAAAACCTCAGTAAGATTTCTTGTGGATAGAGCCACCGTTATTTGCAAAGGAACTGCAATAGCTAATGCATTGTTGTAAAAGAGGAGTAAAGTCTACCAGTTTAAGATGTAGCATATTGCTACAGCAATCCAGGCTGTGTGGTGCTGATTGATGGACAGTTAGATATGCAGATCATGAAACAGAACAGAGAACCCAGAAACAGACCCACAGACTTGCCCTACTGATTTTTGACAAAAGTGCAGATTCACCTAGTACAAGGCGGAGTAACCTTTCCAACAAATGGTGCTGAGGCTACTGGACATTACAGACAACCTCCCCCCCAGCAAACAAAAACAACAAAACTTGATATAAATTCCATCCCTGATGTAGAAGCCAATTCAAATGGACACAAATAGGAAATGTAAATCTTTAGAAAAAAAGAAGGAGAATATCTTAGGAACTAGTGTGAGGTATCGACATCAAAAGCACAAGAAGAAAAAATTAATAAGTTGGATTTCATCAAAATGAAACACTTGCGCTCTGAATGACCCTGGAGGGGCTGGAAAGATGAGCCATAGACTGGAGGAAAATATTTGAAAATCACATATCGGATGAAGAACGGATTTCTGGAATATATAAAAAGTGCCAAAACTCGACATAAAACAACAAGCACCAGCAAAGCAATTCAATTAGGAAGTAGGCAAAGAACACGAACAGACACTTTGCCAAAGATACGCAGACAACAAATAAACAAACGGAAATGTTCAACACTATTAGGCGTGAGAGAACCTCAGATGACGTCACCGGCAGGTGTCATTACCCACCATCAGGACAGTTAGAATAGACACAGCGACAACACCAAATGCTGGAGCTGTCTGGAGAGGCTCACAAGTTCCTGGCAAAAGTCCTGTTCAGCAATACAAAGTGGATACACACAACTTGGACAGCTTTCCAGAGAATCAAGCTGAGTGAAAAAAGTCAATCCCAAATATATACATTGTGTGAGTCTACAACTTTGGTGAAATGACAACATCCTGGAAACAAAGAACAGATTTGTGGCTGCCAGGGTGGGGGAGGCTGGTGAGGAAGAGGGTGTCACTGTCAAATGGCAGCCGGAGGGGTGGTCGGGAAACACCTTGACTCCCTGGCAACGGGCTGCTGGGAATATATTGGCTAGAGGCTCCCCGCTTGGGACAGATGGGTGACAGGTACAGGATCCACTCTGTATTACATCTTACAACTGCATGGGGATCTGCCATGATCTTGACATAAGAGAGTTTCATTTAAAAACAGGCAAGAACACAGGAAAAGAGCCAAGGAAGTGACGGGGTGGGAGGCCTGTAGCACGCAGGAGATAGAAGGAGATGAAGAGGGTGAGCGATGGAGAAGAAAGACGAGCCCTGTTTCTCGGTCGCTTCAGCACAAGTCCTGGGGTTGAGTTGCAGTGACCAGTGGACACCAAGTCAGAGCAGTGGCCCTGAGAATACGGTGGTGACAGCAGTAACAGCCAAGCTTGTGGCTGACTGGCGCCTTGCAAAGGTGTCTCATGCATCGTCTCCTTTAATCCTTGCAACAACCCTGCCAGGCGGTGCCATTGAATGTCCAGTAAAATAGGTGTGAAGAATTGAGGCTGAGAGGTTAAGCGTCTTGCCCAGGGGCATGCAGAAACAAAGTCATTTTCCGCTCCTAGAGAACCAGCTTTCACGGTGTCTGGCCCTCAGCTACTTCTCACCGCTCCAACTAATCCCCTCATGCCTGCTGGGCCAGGATCTCCCAGCTCCTCCAGCTTGTGCAACTCCAGCTACTGCCTCCTGCCCCAGCGCGTTTGCACACACACTTCCTCCTCCTGGAGAACCCTTGTCCCTGGGAAACGCCCTCCTACTCGGTTGTGTTCTGAGTGACCTTCCCTGATGCCAGCCCCCTGGGATAGCATGACTCTCTTTCGTCTCCCAGTGAAGAACTCTGCCCTGCCTGGACCAGGATATATAGGTCATTCTGTCTCCCATACCAGCCCATGAGCGGGGCAGGACCTCTGCTCTTCTCTATGGCAGCAGCTGCTCAGATCAGGCCCAGAGGAGGCAGTGGTGGAGGGTGCATGGGTGTCCCCTGACCCCTCACGTGGCACCTCTCTCCTCCTCTCTTGGCAGCCTGGCGTGGGGCTCCTTTACCTGCTGCATGGCTGCCTCTGTCACCACACTCAACTCCTACACCAAGACGGTCATTGAGTTCCGGCACAAGCGCAAGGTCTTTGAGCAGAGCTACCGGGAGGAGCCGACCTTCATAGACCCTGAGGCCATCAAGTACTTCCGGGAGAGGTCAGTGAAGGTCCGCAGCCTCTGGCCGCTGCTGGGGATCTGAGGCCCGAGGCTGGCCTCAGAGGCTCCGGGGCTCCAGTTAAGAGTTCTGGGGGATTGTGGGGTGATAGGAGCAGCCTGGGTGAGGCATCTTGGTTCCTACCATGTTGGGATTTCTGGGACATTTTAAGGCTTTATGGGGCATGCATGTGGGCTTCTGTGAATCTGAGTCTGGAAATCAAGAAGGAAACTGAGTTTGAGGGTTTTCCATCGCACCCCATGTTTCTTAGAACCAAGATGGGGGCATACAGAGGCTGAACCAAGGTCTCCGCAGGTACTGTCATAGCACTGAGTGAAAACAAGACCCAGCAGAGGGTTTGGTGTGTCTTCTAGAGATGAGGACGTCTTCCTAGAGGCAGGGACTATGTCTGATCACGTGGATCCGCAGAGTCGGGTGGGAACAGAGGAAATAACAAAAAATGAGATGTGTGGTAGTTGGGTGGGTGGGTGAGTGGATGGATGGATAGGTGGGTGGATGGGTGGGTGGG